TCACGCTACGAACGCTCGACCAAGACTGAGTAAAACCATGTTAGTTCGTAACAGTACCTTAGTTCGGACACCCTAACGTCCATGGTTAAAAAATGAGCATTCGCGAGGTCACCCTCAATAAGAATTCTTCCCAGTACACAAGAGTAATATTTTTTTTACTGAGCGAAATACATGCGGTGACCATCATCTTTTCACTCGATTTTGAAATATTATGCATAAGGAAATGCTGTTTCGAGGAAAGGAGATTTTCACGGAAATATACGGAGACTACCTTATTTGAGGTGCTCTTCACACGTCTTATTCTTGATTTCTGTGCTCAATTCTTATTTCGCAGGAGCTTAGGGAAATAGAGTATTGCTACACGGAATGTGCATGCTATGTGCAGATTTCTTCTCCTGGTGTGTCCAAACAAAGTTGTGTTCGAAATTATTTTTTCGCACACATGCTCCAACACCCACAGAATATGCCCTATTGAGAATAATAAGGCTTCGAATGACATCTTTATAACACTCATACCTACTCATGTTGTTCTCCCAATCACCAAAAATGACGAATCATCCAGCTTGTACAGCTTAAGCATGACGAACGAATTACGAGGCACATCCAGCTCAACTGTCTGAACATTGGTGGTTTTACCCAGCCAAGATTTTTTAAGGCCTCTTCATGGAATGGCAGCATGAATGGACAGCAGCAGCTAACGATGAACAGTAATATTTCAATGTAGAATTAGCAAACCTAGATGTGAACTTTATTTCCCTAAGCCATCTATTGACGGTCGACTTTTAGGTACCTTCGCTGGGGAGTGGTTAAAAAATCGACCCTCTCCAATATCGAATCCAAAGTTTATTGAGCTACATTGCCTACATGAAGAGCTTGTTACCTCAGAATATCGTAGGAGCAGTTATCGATGTCCTTACCCATCATTAAGTACTACAACATGAAAACAAGAAGAAGCAAGAAGATTCGTTCCAAACCGATTTCGTTTTGCACGTTAAAGTGTCAATGACCGAACTCGGCGAGACACCTTTCAAGCATCGCTTGAAGCACTTGATTACGCGGCTAGCACACTGAGGGCAGTATGTCACAGAGATGGCGATATTCTTCCAGCGAACCGGGAATACGACCAAACTCATACAAGAGTCGACTTTCGCGTACTTATTGTTGCACGTGTTGGGGATCTCTTCAAAAATTCTCCAAGGCATACACTTTGAAGAAAAATTATGGATGTAGTCTGATAGGAACACCGAAGGGTTCCTCTCGAGGATACAGTGTACCTTACGCGGATCGACTCAATCCAAGGCACTGGGAGGTGAAACAGGGCTTAACTTGCAGACTAACGTACAGACTGATCAAGAGCAAAAAATCACTGATTGGATTTTTGGCAAGTGACGTATTCATGATCTTGACCTTTCGGAAATTTTTTAGGTTTTGAATAAACTGAGAAATACTTGCAACTGCAAATTTCAATTCATCCCATAACGCTAAGACTATTGAACCGATTTGGACAAATATGGTATTGAGCTTTTTGTCGCCTTGCCATTTTTGCCGAGGGGCTTTTACACGATGAAAACACCACTCTATAAAAGCAACAGCGATGGACTCAAGGAAAGGAGAAGGCGTTCGCCCTCATCCCCTGTGTCTTACTCCTTTACTTGCTACGGGGGAGGTGATTTGTTTTCCTGCCTCGGAATCAATGCTTGCCATCAGTTGATAGCGGTCATGCATTCCGAGGCACGGATCCAGGTTCAAAATCAGTTGAACCCAGAATGTGGTGCAGGCTCCCAAGAGCTGTTCGGGACGGAGACCCCTGTGGCGCGCCGCATCGTGTCTCTATTTTAACGATCCCTCATGATGGAGGTTGTTCCAAGGGTAACGTTTCCCCGGAATAGCCATTCGGGCCCAATTGCGTTTCTCCCACGGGGTGATGTATGTTCGTGAGACTTAAGGCATGCAGTGCACTGGGCCATTATCTCCAGAAAGGCTAACGGGCCCACTTCCCGAGTAAACAGAACACTCACTCCTCTCACCACTACTCCTCTCACTACTCTTCCTCTCACTACTCCTCCTCTCACTACTCCTCCTCTCACTATTCCTCTCACTATTCCTCTCACTATTCCTCTCACTACTCCTCTCACTATTCCTCTCACTACTACCTGGATGGATGTACCGATTCTTAAGGTCAACTTTTCGGCCAGTTTGGATGAAGCCCTGATGCAATCTGGCATAAGCCACACGAGCACATCTGAATCGCCGCGCGACTTCTTGTTGTGTTACATGCTTTTTGAGCATTCTAATCGCCCAGTCCATTTCTTCTTGCGTAAGCCTTGTCATTTTTATGATGTTTCTCGGAGACGGCATGATACACAATTCATTTTTTACCTATTGAAATCTGGACTTGACATATGGCATGGAGAAAACCTAGATAGGCATATTCCTGATGTGGCACATGCAAAGCGCTCAATGGTCGGCGAGTACATGCTAAGAATGTTCAGGTGGTGTTGACTAGTTCAGCAAAGGCCTGATATAATGTCGTCTAAACTTGTCTTACGTGGGCATACTTTGAGCGCATTTAGTGTTTTTGCTGGAAAAAGAGCAACATTCCATGGATGGAGCAGAATGTCATTAGCTTCTCATTTTATTTAACACGTTCTTTTCGGCGCGAGGGCTATTACAGTGGGTTGGCGTGGGCCACTCATGGTACGCCTTCCATATTATTTTTTAGGGCGATTGATTACTTATGAGAATCTGACTGAGTTTTAGGTGAGGTATATAACGCTAGAACATATCACACTAAGGGAATGTTTCCCATTGTCGAGGCCGTCACACAAGACAGTACATGATTTCGCCCCGGACTTGAACGTGTATGAAAGTTATAGAAATCAATTTTTTTGGACAACCGTGTTATGAATATGTGCCCCTGGTATTCTTGCACTAGTAAATGTGACAAATTCCCTCGGGGAGGACCGCTCGAAATTTAGAGTATATTTGAAAAAGAGCAAGGAAGGCAACTTAATGGGAATGTATTTGTCCAATGTACATTGTATTTATTAATACATTGTGTCTATGGCAATTTCTTGGGATTCTCGTGACTTTGCACTCCATATAACGCTATAATGGGCGCAATTATCCATGGCTCAGTACTATAAGAGGCCTTCTTTCACCCATTTTTGGTTTTGTAATCTTCAGTTATTTAATTAAATGTATAATATATATTTTATATGGTAAATTTATACAAAATATGAAAACTACATATAAAGCATGACAATTTCAATTGCAATCACGAAGAAGCTCAAAAATGCAAAAAAGGATATTATTCCGATAGCAGCCTTAATTCAGGTCTGAAAGGGTTAAGATAACCAGACATGTTGGAGTAATGAGAGGTCAAGCACTCGGCCAATTGTCCATGATTTTCAGAATTTCCTCAATCTTCTGCAATTCACTCAGTAGTGCCCTCATTTTCATCTCCTCGTCTCCCCCTCTCTCCATTATCGTGTCCTATTTCAAAGCAGGTTGCATCATTAAAATGTTGTAGGCTTCAAAACTCAACACTCTCCTATGGAACTCACAAGATCAGTTCTGTCCTGGATTTCTGCTGTTAGCTCCTCCGATATGTATACCAATAGCTGAGCAGAAACACAAGTCGATGAATATTTTATGCATCGTGCTTATATGATCTTTATACGAAGGTAGAATGCTCGTAGATATGAAGAAACGCACCTTATTGATCAGCTTCAGGACGATGTACTTGGGCGTGAGGTCCTGGATGGTCTGCCTCACTATTCGCATGTAAAGAAGGATCTTTTCCAGGAAGCAGTCTGCATCTTTGTTCAACGTCTTGTCCGACTCGAATTTCTAGCCAGACATAGGATGCAATTATTTATATAACAGCTTATATCGAATCGAATCCATTTGTTAAAAAAAATATGTACGCGATGATTAAAATATATGCCAACCCATTTAATAATTAATTCTACAGATACACAATTGCTATATTAAAAAAAAGAATGCGGTTTCCTGAAACAGAATAATAAATTAATTCTGCAAATACTTGCAGGTTGGCAAGTATCTGCATTATATATGTATTTATTTTGAACACCACTTTTCATAAACCTACTGCCGTCGTTCCACCTAGCCCACCTTGACGAAAATAGGAAGTACGCGTATCGTTCATTTTTCTTCTGTTGCAGAAAACTGAAATATTTTATTTTATAGCAAGAGCGTATCTGTGGTATTAATTCTTCACTGGTTTTGATATTTTTCAAATCTTCGTGTACAGGTATATGTACTGACCCTGGCGAAGTCGATTTTGTGGGGTTGAATGATAGACCAAGGGCGAGGCCTGTACCTGCTTTTGGCTTGATCTTCGTAAACGTCGAGAAACTGTTCGTCGAAGAACTGCAGCAGCAAAAAGAAAATAGTTAGACAAAGCCTCACCCTCACTCCGTCTCTAATATAGGAATGTGTAAACCTTGTGATATGCATTGGGTGTTTTATCATGCCTACAGGGTATGGGAAAAAAATCATTTCCACCTGTAACAAATACAATAACGAGCAGAAGTATTGCTCAAAATGCACTTAATAAAATTCACTCATTGCCATAAAAACACAGCACAAAGAAGGAGTTGAAAGATCTTGATTAATTCGGTAAACGTGCTCCCATAAGCGTGTTATCAAATTGTGATTACAAGGGCGTGGGATGAATTTTAACAGAAAATTCTCAAAATGTCTGATGCAAATGGGGTGGAGGGGAACTACAGTACTAATCGCCCTGAAGAGCCCGCATTGACAGTTCATTAATAAAGGGTGGTACAGAAAATTATGATACCTAGCAAACTCGTGGAAAGTTTCGAGGTCACAGATTGAGGTGATCCAGGGAAAGCTTGCCGAACGCTCATTTAGTAGGGGAAGAGGGTTATTTCACTAATGATGCCAACTTTCCTTCTTTCTACTTCAAACCATTTTGATGAGGTGTCATTGTTGAGCGCTTAACTGTGCGTTGTCTTGGCGATGTCTCTGGAGGCAACCAACTCATTATGTCATGCCCAGGGATTTCTGGGAGTCAAACCGTTTACATTCGTCGCCGTTGCTGCCAGCCAATGGAATCGAGTCAACAACTATTTCCATTAAGGAAGCGGTGATCACGTCACTTCAAGGTCAGTATAACACCGACTTTGTTTCAGGACTTCGCTCGTAACAACGCCTAGTATCACTAGTCTTACACTTCTTTGACTTCTTGGAATGACTCTGATGAGCGGTCTGATTTTTAAATTGAAATGTCCGTCGAAACATAAGGAGAATCTTACAATGGAATTAGCACTTCCGAAGTTCTCCATAAGGATTCCCCCTTCCTGGAACTTGGACTCCCATTCTTCACCGATTTCCTTTCCCTCTTTCCCATCGTATATGGCCTCGAAATCCCTTGCCTGTCCCTTCCCGAAAGGCCTGCGAGGCAAAGATATACTTCAAGAAAGGCAAAACCTAACGAGAACATGAAAAGAGCTGAACAGCGAAGTGCTAACCTGCCATCGATTCGATTGATGGTGAACCTCTTCAGGCCACTTTTCCGATCGTTCTTCACCCCAATCCTTATTTCTGCATTATTGAGTCGCATCAATTCTGTGTCTTCCTGTATTCGCGGAAGTAAACCTTAGCGTCAAAAGGGATAGGAAAGAGAGAAAAATAATAGAGGAGTGGCAGTATCGTGAAGGTACCCGAATGTCCTTGTACACGATGAGATGAACAGGTGTGATTGCAAACCAGACCCGCTTCTTCTTCCATGAAAATACGGAGTAATTTGGGAAGTGCAAGTAGCCCTGGTGGATCCTCTGCGTCCCCTTTCAACGCATCAATGCACTCCTTTACACTTGAGTGTATTTGGAAAATGAATACAGGATATAGTGAAGGAAAAAGATCATCTCACTATTGTGTGCCGGGGTGTGCGTGCCGGTGAGCCGGCCGGGGAGTTATTCATTTTCCCTTCCTCTATCCCACTGGAAAACATATAAGGTAAATTATCAGTTGTTGCATTTGTACATATATGCATATGTACCTCGTGCCGCACCGCACCCCTCGTACATATATGCATAATGGCTTTATTTCTTTGTGAGTGAGCTCTCTAATTCTCTGCCTTCGTAAGGGAACGAAGAAAGTAACCACCTTCAAATGGAACATATTCCTAGAGGAAACAGCAGACTGCTTTACCTTCTAAGTCATTCTTAAGAAGAGGTGAGTGTTAGAGTAAAAATGAAAGTATCTTAAACAAAACTTCTGAAAAGTCGTAATGATTTTAGTAGCAACATGATCATTGAGAGGATTGAGTAAATGAAAAGGGTAGAAAAATAATTTATGAAGAGATGATGTCAGACCTATGATCGGATGTGGCCAAGGCATCACTTCTCTTCATCATAGGATGGTTAGTGTTCATAAAGGCACACTCCGCTTCTATGTACGTTATCAGAAGTTCCTTGCAGCTCAATTCGTTGCGCTTCAGTCGCTCCATCACTCGGGTCAGGACTTCTTGCTTCAATTTTGGGAAAGGGCCCAGTTCCTATTCAAAGTAAATATTTTCCCCCCAATATTTAGTCATACCCATTTTTCATGCTAATTCATAAATTTCGTTTTTCCTTTCAGAGGAAAATTTCCTCAAACTTTTAAAAATATTTTAAACTATTAATTGCTTGTCAAGTAACCTGTGAAGCAAACTTCTCGACGGCCCTGGCGGCGTGTTCTGCGATGATTTCCACGGAAATCTTGATGGGTTCTTGAAATTTCTTGGTCATGTGTTCAACCATTCTTCTGAATGCTTGCTGCGGAGGTGATATGTAATTCGCAACCCCAAACAAGTTTCTTATGGTAATCATCGTCTCCTCCTTCGTCGGCATCAGATTCTCCTGCATGAATTCCAAAGGGGAAAGAGAAACTTGTTTCAGATCTCACGTCTGACCACTGGGCCAGTCTCCATTGTCCTTATATTTCACAGAAAGTAGAAAGTTTCATAAGTTGAAAATCTATTATGTACATGACAGCATGTATCAGAGTTTTAGTGAACCGGGTCACTGATAATGAAAGCGGAAGTAGTTTCATAGCTTGGCAGAATAATTAATGTCTAAATTAATTTGAATTTTCCATTGTCTTCCTGAAAGAAGAAAAGTAAGATAGAGCGAAATAATGAGGAGAAGAAGAAGGCAGTACGTCATTTAACTGCATGTATTCAAACCAAGATCGATACCTGATTGATATAAAGAAAATGCGAGAAATAGAGGTCAATGGAATTATTGGGGAAATGCATTGACTCGGTACGTTTACCAGAAAAATTACAATTTTTCTAACCTCATTTAGGAGGCCATTAATGATCTCTTCATTGATCGTCTCATTGATCACAGCGCCCAGCTGTACTTCGTTTATATTCACGTTGTAATCAAAACCCTCTAGGCAAAGTTTCATGCTATTGGCGAACCTGACCATCACCCTAAAAGGGAGAGTGTAAGACATCAATCAATGACACTTTTTGATTCGAGAGAAAATAGATGAAAGGCCATAATTCCAGACTGATGGAAGAGGGCGTTGTTGCTTTGTGCTTTGGTATCGAAGGCGCCCAGGATCTGGAGTTGCTCCGTGAGATTGTTTTTCTTCTGTATCATGTTGGAGCGGATCCCTGGGAGTTTCTCCCTAATATGCTGCTCCAGTTGCTGGTTGAGCACCCGTTGGAGCACCCTCGTCCCGACTCGGTCCTTCAGGTTCCTGTGAATCCCATCCATGGGTCTCTTTTGTTCAAAACGGGAACACGAGAGTGATGCTTGATAGGTTGAAATGTGCAGTTTTTAATGATAACGGGGCGGCCGTATACGACTTTTTATATGCAATTCGAAGACGTATTTGGAGATTAACAACGATAAAAATTACATTTTGACTGCAGAAAAGTGGTCATGAGCAAACCCCCCCCCCAGATAATTATAGATCACAAAGCTGGGGAACCTTCAAGTTGATATCTCAATTGCCTTCTAAATTTACTTAAATTTTTGTGAGGAAATGCCGAAGGCTTCATGCATTCCTGTTTAAAAATGAGACTTAGGTTCATGTCCTTCTGTCATTGCTTCCATATTGTTTTTACAAACCACTTACGTATTCAATTATTATGTTCAATTATTATAACCACTTATGAATTCAAAATGCAGACTCATACCATTCGTCGAGGTATTTGCACATAATGCGTGTCTTCTTTAAACTGGTTCAGCACTGAGCGATGACAAGCTTGTTAGCAAAAGCCACAATGCTCAAAATGGCGATGAGCTCTATGCACTTTTTAAAAATAAATAAGACATGCGTATCATTCGAACAAACTAGGAGCTTTGCTGAAAAAAGTGTTAAGACACGAACTTGTGCTTTAAGAAAATAATATTCAAAATATGAGGTATACTCAGATCAGTAGAATTTGAGGTCTCAAGGAATTCATATATGCTGTTACCTTTTTATATGCATATGAACATTTTTGAAGTATGCGCCTGAATGAAAAAAAGACAACTATTTTTTAAATGTGGCTTTTAAAAATGAGACGTATTCGACCCACTTCCAATCTCAAGTCTGAGTAATTATTATCCTAACAAAAATCTCCTGGTCTTCGGCCTGACAGGAATTATTCAGAACATCTCTACTGTGAAGACATCGTTAGGGAGCAGACAAACTTGTAATTATCACTGAAGAAGGCATCCTCTGCATCCCTGGCAGCCTTCATGTTTATGGCATTGGTGATGTCCGCTTGGGACCTGTTCTTCACTCCGATGTATCCTCGCCTCAAAGGGATGACTTTATTCTCTAAAATTTCCCGAGCATCTGTGCCTTGATCCATCAGGTCCAGCTTCGTCAGCACCCCGATTGTCCTCTCCCCTGTAATCAATCCAAAACAGCTCCTATTACTGGCATCTATCAAGGCACAGCTAATAATCGGGTTTGTTTTCGAATTCCTTAAGGAGTCGCGATTGAGATGTTAAACGAATGCTGTTCCAGCACTGAAGTGGAGCGTTATTTTCTTTCCAACAACAAATATCGGTGGGGTATTGGGGTACTGATATTTGCCTCTTCTTGTCCTTGGTTGTCGGGACGGATGCATAAGTGATGGATTTTCAAAGTATTTGCCCTTATAAAGAGCTTGCTCATTAAAATAACCCCAGTTTTCAACATTTTTCCACATTACGTACTGTAAGATGGAAAATACGTTTTCCAACGCTAAGAATCTTAGCTGCAAGAATGTCCGAGTCTAGACTTCGTAAGACTAAGCCGAAGGGACTTAGCCTTACGAAGTCCACTTGATTTTTATACGTGAATTCCTGAGGTTTCTCTTTCCACCAGACCATTGTCCGACGCTCAACAGGGTGGATGTGACAGTAGTCACCTTCATTCCCGGCAAATTATTTAGTTCACAATAATGTTACTGTTTTTAATCAGGGACAATTCTGATGCATGGCATGTGGACCATGCGTGAATTCAATCGTGTGAGGAAGATGAAGACCGGGCTGGTCTTGCACGGAAGGGTTTGTAGGAATGAGACCAGTTTTTTTTTTATGTGATCAGACTTGCATGGATTTCTGCGTAAAGTCCGTTTTGTAATCTGTCAGCATTTATCATCTCTGTCAGTCTGTCCGGGATCAAGAGGATAGAATGTCGGGCGTAGAACAGACCCACTCCTGTACTACTGAAGCATGCATGATTAACGTGTGCTAATTCAAAAGCTAGGAATCGAGAAAGGGCATGGAAAAGAAACGTAATGAATGAATTCGTAATAAACCCTTGAAAGAAGCAGCCTTCAAAGATTACCTGAAAAAAGGCCAAGCAGGTTATTTCCCTTTATGGACCAGTTAAGGGAGCACAGTACCCTCCCTGAAGAAAGAGCTAGTCAAAGTGTTTCTTAGTAATCGGAGAGCGTTTCCCCTCCCTTCAAATTCGCCGACTCTGGGACCCATGCTGAGGGCGAAGGGGCAATGCGCAGGGACCTAGGAGCCCACCCTCTCACTTCTCTCCCTCTCCATTCATAGCCTGAGACTAGTTGCAATGCTACAAACCTATTTCAAATCCAGGCTCAAAATAAATTACATGGAATGTGTTTTGACCTTGCGTGTCAGATCTATAGATAACTGCCATTAATTTGTTTTCTGAGCTTCCCATTGAGAGTGGCATGACAGAACATGTGGCTTCCAGGTGCAACCGCCATCTTACTGAACTCGCAAGAGCAAAGAGTTCAAAGCAGACACATGGAGAGGGGAAGAGCAGAAGAGGCAACTTTCCCCGAGCTATACGCCTGGGGGCCTCCACGCCGGGACCCAACAAATCACGCTATTCATTCCCACGTGTGAGACTTTACCAAGATGGCGGAAGCACTTGTAAGTCTTGAGGCAGCGAAGGCCATTTCAGAACTAAGGGATGGTGGGGAGAGGAATGCACCGCCCAATGGGAGCCTCTGCCTGAAACGTCAGTCTCTCAATGGCGTTCTGCACCGTTTCCTTCCATTCTCTTATACTGCCCAGTGTCGTAAGGGTTCTTCACTTTCAATAGCAAGACCGACTGATGGGCTTTGCCATGATCCCTAGATTGCTATCTAAGGAGCATGGCTTTGCCTAGAGCGAGTCACGTCCAAGCAATACCATGTGCTCGGGAATATGAGGCCACCGCCATGATGGTTGGCGTGACGTCTCCACAAGGAAGGCTCCCATTCCTCTCCCTATCGCTTAGTTCTCCAGAGACATCTATATACGCTCTATGGCAGAGCGTACTCACGATTCCATGATCGAGTCGTTGAATACAGAAGTCACTACTAAACAATGTTGTTCTTTCCAAGCAGAGGAAGGAAAAGGGTCTACGCCTACACTGTCTGATTTCTTCGTGCTTCTTTCCTTTCCATCCCATTTTCCCCCACCCCCTCCTGTCTAAACATGAATTCCTTGAGGGGAAATGTTCGCCCTCCGCTCCTCTCATTCGTGAGGGAGGTTCTTCTTTCCTAGCACTTGGGGTCAGAATCAAGCTTGTTTGGTATATTACGTAGGAAAATTATATGGGGGTCGGAGAGCCAAGGACGTCGTTTTTTTCAGATGTCTCTTGAATGTCAAATCTCTTTTTATGCTGCACAGAGTTTGTGCCGAGGAAGTTCTATCTGGGAAGCTTGGAGATAACAATTGCTTTATTCTGACGGTCTTTATCAGTCCTCTCCTTGAGTTCATAATTCTGCCTAGTCGGATGATATTTGGGTCCTTTGTATTTGGGTATTTGGGTCCTATCGTCCTGAGGTGTAAATTGGAGTAAAGGTTTCTCCCTGTTTTGAAACTGGCTTTTGAAGCCTCAGCGAATGAGGCCACAACGTTTAAGACTGTTTAAGTTTCTTCTCTGTAAAGATTTGCCTTCGTGTCTACCGTAAAGCCGACCTTACGTGATAACCACCCGTGAAAGGACATAAAAAAGCGAAGCCTTCTTCGATGGTAATCTTGAGGATGTGAGGGAATCCACATCGAAGACTTCCGTGCAAATCGGTCCATATATCATAATCACATGACCTTTCACTTTTTTTTCAAGGAGGGTGGAAGAGAACCAGTCTCACGGTGACGTCCCGTCAGGTTAAAGAAATTCTAGGAAGCCAACAGGGGTTGAGGAGCGTGGAACTCTCCTCCTGATACTAATTTTTTGGGTTTTGCAATAGATCTTGTCGTTTTACAGATACTGAGATCAAGTACTATTTAGTACTTGCGGCACTTAGAGGTACCATCATTGGAAGCAAATCATTGAGTATATGACATTGATATCCGGTTTATGTGCATGGAAGCTAGTTTTTACGAATCCGAGAGCGTTTTTTACAAGCCAACCTAGTCAAAAGGTAGCTAGTAGCAAAAGGTAGCCCTTAAATAGGATATTGTGACGGATGAGGATGGCATCGAGAGGCTCGACTGAATGTCCGGGGTTCGGTGGTGTAGTGGTAGCACACCTGACCGGCAATCAGGAGGCCCGGGTTCGCCAATGGATGAATGAATCCACCAACGTGAGAAGCAGCTGTATGTCCTGTCATGGGAAATTCTCACGACGTTTTGGCTGAATCGCAATGTTGGATGGGCCAGCAGTATCCATTATTAACGCCTATAAAAATTCAATTGCACGAAAGCGTCCCATCCAAGTGAGCCACGATCACGGAGAGGCTGGACGAGCAAAACTGGAGAGCGCATGCACAGCGGGACGGGTGGGCGAGGATCCCTGGAGAACAGGGTTGTGAGAATGTTGAGGAGTGGAAAGGTGGGGTTTGCTAACTCTGATATAACCTTCGATTCATGAACTCGACACGAGAGGATCAGTTTAGCCCGGAGCTAACTTAACTGCGCGAAGTTAATCCGGGGCTAATTTTACCCTCCATTCATCAACCGACCCTACGTGTCTCAAGTAGAATCAAGCTAAGTCGAGACAGCTACCGAGATCGAGCAGACCTGGCTGTTGTGTACCATAAGTTCTGTTGACTGACACAATCAGGAGGCCCGGGTTCAATTCCCGGCCGTTCCTTGGCTTCTTTCGTCCTCTCATGCCGTCCGTCTCCCACTTTCCCCACTTTTTCGCTACTTACCCCTGCGAATTCATGGTTTTATTGAATCATTAGACGTATTTTATGTTTATATCTCTCCTTTTGACTTGAAGAAATCAAAAGGATAGGGTGAAAAACGCCAGGGTTATACCCAAAATACATTTATATATTTCTCCTATTGAAGCCTTTCGACGCTGGTGATTTTTTTCAGAAAGAGAGGACCGAAAAGATCAAAAGTAGAATTAAAGGAAAGAACTCCAGGGATAATTTATCGAAAAGACCCTGTGATGCAGACGTGAACCAGATGCCTAAAACACATACTCACATGAACCTAATAACTACCCCTTAGCTTGCCTTTTTTTTACGCCGCGTTATGTCCACCTGTAATGATATCAAGAGGAAAGCCTTATTCAGGGAACGAAAGCTAAGTCCATGCAGAAAATAGACCACCAATGTGGTCCTAGCCCCTTGCCAATATCCGATTTGTCGTTACGCTATAAAAAAAATTCGGCTTCCAGGAACACCTGAGAGTATATCAGAGAATGCCACGGAACACAGCGCAGGCGAGAAAGCCCATATGCCCTCGTTGATATGCTTTCAAGTGTTCCGACTGTAAAACCATTTTCCAGTTTACAGCCTCCTCAAACTCAGCTAATCTTGCCTGTCAGATAGAATTTTGCGCCTTATGAAGGAGAGGAACTCACGTGGCGCAAATGCTCAACTATGACAAGTCGGAATATGGAAATTTGGAGCTGAATCGATCCAGGAGTTAGCCAATCTGTGATCATGAGCTGGATAACCAATATGTATGACAGTACAAATAAATTATCCGAGTATTGCAAGTAATTTTCAGTATACCAGCGGGGTCAACTTGGCGTGCGAGTTTGAGTGCGTCGGAATTGGCCAGGTCCTCGGTGGCAGGTGTCACAGCCAGAATCAGCGTGTTCTCGGGTTCAATGTACTCCAAGATCACGTCTCGTATCTGAAGGAAGAAAACAACTTGCTCCAGCTAACTACAGCCTGCACTGTAAAACATTTAGGCTTCCAGGAACATCTGAAAGCACTTCATAGAATGCTTTTGAACGCATTACACTTGCAAAATGGCGTCCATATGCCTTATTTAATGTGTTTTCAGGTTATTTTTTCCTGGAAATTTGTTTAGTGTTCTTCCAACTTGAAATACAACCTTGCAACTACTGTATGAAAGAATATAACCATGAAAGGGTAAACCTCTCACCTAACCCTTTGGACAGACTCCATTTCCGAAAAATATTTTGTCCTCAGGTGGTGAAAATAAATGCATCAGCATGTCAACACATATTTAGAAGCGCTAATTGATCAAATGTGAAATGGAATGAAGTAAATTGAAGCGGAACTCACGAGTTGCTCAATATTATTTGGCTGGTCGTTGACAGGGTTCTTGGTTAAACCGGGCAAATCGACCAGAGTGAGCTGAAGAACTGTCAACGAAATTCACGTCTCAACACTCGACATTCATCCAGCAATGTTTAATGAACCGTGAAATCTGTTTCACCGTAAGGGGAATAGAGTCTGAGGTTGATGGGCCGACTGGAGATGGCCTTGTCTGGTGCTTCTTTGTCGGTTGCCTCCTGGATCTCTTTCCTCACTGCTTCGAAATCAGTGTACTTCGTGCCCGGCTGGTGGAGAAACTCCACGTATTCTGTCCACATTATATGATAGAATGTAACCCCTTTGCTCAGAACAAATAATAGAAGAATGAATGCCGCTATGCGAGAGCTCAGTCAAAGCTCAGTCAAAGATCATATCGTAAAATCATGGTGTGAAGGGATTGTGGAACGCGATGATGAGGTTCTGTAGCGTCAAAACCAACCGTCATTTTCGAATGTAAAGGGTTAACCAAGTTTTTTGGAAACTTACTGTCATCGATCTTTATTGATGGAAAGTTATCATAAGGTGCTTGAGCACTCCAGGATGTTCAGGAGAAATAGGAAATTTAGACTTAAGTAGGAGGGTTAAGGTATCAGCAGAACACTATCTGCATCAGCGTAACATGTATAAGGGTTTCTGATGAATGAAATTGAGATTGAGACGTTTCTGAACTCGCATACCTTAAAAAATAAGAGAGTAGAAACCCTTTAAAGTCCTACCTTCAGTATGTGGAATCATTTGAAGGATGAGTGGACGTCTGGTGACGATGCCAGTACCCCTAGGCAAAAAGTCCCTGCAAGTTCCAAGAAAAAGCGTGAGGTTTTGGGTTAATATTTGGGACGTCTAATAGATGAAGGTGATGTAAAGGCATTGCATACTTACCTGCCAGCAACGGCCTCAAGGACGGAAGACTTGCCAGCACTCTGTCCGCCGACGACGGCGATCATGGGGAGTTGAAGGTTGAGACTCGAGGAAGTGTAGGCAAAGCAGTCTTGGAGCCTGTTGATCACCTCCACTAGTTCCTTCATCCCTTCGTTTCCCGCCATCTTCACTATGTATCAGACGGAGATATGTATCAGACGGAGATTGCAGGATGCTACCAGTCATGAGAGACCTCAAATTCGCCTTTGAAGCGATTTTGAGTTCTATCTCATGATATCAACTTTCGAATTTCAAATAGGCAAGCTTTGGATCGATAATATAGAATGCGTTCCCTCATCAGGGAAACCACGATTGCTTGTATGCAAATTTTCAGCGAGTTCCGTGTTTAAGCACCAAAGTGAGACACGCAGTTTGAATTTCGAACGCCCGAGTATTGGATGAGGAATTGAGGATGATGTTAAACTACATCGTTTGGGGATAGGCTCGATCGGACCGACCCGACGCGCGCATCGGGCATGCAGATCAGTTGGCAATCAAGTTTCTGGTCGGGTAACGGGCGAACAGCAATGAAAGACCTTGAGTTCTCGCGCTCTCTAGAGGCCTAAGCGGGCTGCGGTCCGGCCCATTATGCCCGACACAATACGCGGGTCGGGCCCGCAACTCTCGGTCGGCGATCGAGTTCCGGGTAGGGTTCCGGGTAGGGTGCGCGCACCCTACCCGGAACTCGATTCGAATCGTGGACCGCGGTCCACGATTCGAATCTGCCCAATCGAATCCTGTTCGGAAAAAGCGAGCCGCGCAGGCCTCCGGCGGACAGACAGGCGGAGGACAAACGTAAGCTATAATTACAGTGGATTCCGCTTTACTGAAAAACCTTGGTTCCGGGCCAATTTGCCCCAATTAAGTAGCTGCCCCGATAATACGAAATTTCCTTCCATTACCTAAACGATTCTGCATGATTCCGTTCCTGCCAAAATGCCCATAAAAACCGGCTGTCCCAGTAACCGATGGCCCAATAAAGCGGAATCCACTGTATGTAGATACTTTGTACTGGAAAATACTCGGGATTCAAGAGACTATGAACTACGATAATCGCTTCTTATGGAAAGGCAGCATCTAGCCAAATTGTAAAATTAAGTATGCCAGTTTGCCCTTGCATTACGAGAGCTCGAAGCGAGCAGACATGGTACCCAAGTTCTTGTTGGAGCCTCCTACTTAGATCTTTCTCGGCTCTGAGGCATTCCGAGACTTCGCTTTTATGCACAATCAATAATACTTAACTAAAGACTAATCCCTAGGTTAAATATCGATGCCATGCTAAAAAGTGAAGTCCTTAAAGCTTAAAAAAAGCCAATATCTCTGAATGGCAGAAAGGTCTGTACTAATTGTCACACGATGAGCTTCGTTTGCTCTACAGATGAACTAAGAATGCAATCAAAAGATAACCTACTGCTCTAATGGTACGAGTTCTATATGGGAAAAAAAAGGAAGAGAAAACAAACCAAGGAAGGAAGGAGGATGGGCACGATAGGAGTCGTTCAGCTACCGTTGCCTATCCCGCACTGCACAGTACAATGCATATGTTCCGCATCGAAGTCCGTGCACTGAAGAAGGAAACACAATGACGTAATTGTGAGGTAGAGAGATTCCATGGCGCAAATTGTTTTTCGCGCCTCATGCACCAGGAGAGCGGCTTATAATAGGTCCTCGTATTATAGCGGAATATTCAATGTTGCTGCCTGCATCTCATGTTTCCTGTGCCTTTCATGACTCCGTGTGATAAGTCAAAACTCCACTAAGTACGTTCTTTGATACAATGCACCTGCACCGTTTCGTTCCAAACGAGACCAACAAGCGGTACTATTTCCTTTCTTCAATCCATTTCCCTTAAAAAATTCCACCCTCTCGTATTTCTCTCTGAAAGCGTCTGGAGGAACAAAATTACGCATCTTTCTTGCCCTCTGGACGCAGAATCATACCAGCAACTTTCAAGCTTCATCTCCACTGGATTGCGGTGAAAGCAGAAAGCAGAATCTTAATGGGTCTGAATTTCATTCCAGTACTTTTTCCATCCTTCCCCCCCCCCCTCCCCCTTGGGTGGCAATAGCGGAAGCTGAAGCTGGTTACTACCAAATTATATGAGAGCACTCTCTCCGGTTCAGTCATGGATTTGAAATTCCCAATAATCATTCCAATTCAAAAGCTAAACCTCGTAAATGAACTTATACAACGAGGGACGCTAGGAATCTGCGAGAGGAACTTCCACTAGATTCGGAATGGAATTTTTTCGGAACCATCGCGTGCGAGGCAAATAGAGTTCGCTAATTGCGCGAGTCCCTTGCAGAGCGCTGGTAACTGCCAAATAGACGGACCGATGAGAGTCTCATGTGAATGAATACTTTGACAGGCACTTGCATGAAGCATGACCACATGAGCATGATATAACTGCTGGAAACCGGTAGCACATTTGGCAGATACGAAAGTCACTTTTCCTCCGTCACAATTCCTCACACACTGGGATTCCCATAACTTGGGTTGTCACTATATTCATTCGTGAGTCTTGTACCACGCTCTGGCGAGAAATGTGGCCCTGCGACGGCATTGAGGTTCCTGAATGGATAGTGTATAAGCCACTACTGAAGGTCGCAATCTGGGTCTCTTCCTGTCGCAATTATATCATGTAAGGGGCGGTGGCGGGAAACTCATTCACCGTGACTGCATTTGTCGTTGTTGAGAGTTTATCATTTTATCATCTGACCTGGGAAGTGAGAGGGGAAAGGGGATGTTCGCTTCCCATGGAAATTTGCATTTTTTCGTGTCCCTATCAAGGTCATGCCGAGAAAGGGTTATTAAATTTCCACAATCTCCTCTATATTTTCTCAAAGAAGCGGGAAAGAAGAATCTCTCAGACGTGGCCTTTACACTGAGAATTTTGACTGTTTCTAGTCTTTCTTTTCTCCTCTCTTTGTCCCTCGATGCGAGCCTTCCATTGAGACGCCAAAGAAAGGGGCTTTGGGTAAGCAGCGAGCGGGACGGACCCTTCCGTCTTCCTTTCATCTCCCTGTCCAGCCCCCGCAATCATCGTTATCGTACGCCTACCGAATGAAAGAGGACGGGAGGAGCTTTCCAACGATGGTGGAAATGCCCGACGAGGTGGAGTTCGTGGTGATCGCCGATCGGAATTCAGAGCAATCAGAGTTAAAGGAGCTAGGAGCACTCGAGAGGCTCGGGGGAGCGCTGGTTTTTTGTAACGTGATATTTAAGATTAAATTAAATGTAATTAAGGGCAGTTGATTATGGGGTGAGATTATGTAGACAATGGGGTTGAGCGTGGAATTCAGGGCCAGCTGATGCGGGGCCTTTCGGTCACGTAGAGCGATAGCGAAGGACGCTTTTTCGTACGTGTTGCACTCTCGTACCACTTTGCATAATTTCCACTTGGGTCGGGGAGACAAGACCAGGTGACCTAAATTCGTCATTTACACCTCTATTAAGCACCTGGGCGTCACGATGTGCCGCTTTTGGGAGAAAAAATTATTTTTCCAGAGGAATCCTTCCTACAAATATGTGGGGGAAAGAGAAGGAATAAGGAATAGGTTTACCAGAGCGAGTGTCATGGCCATTTTTAATGGGTGGATATTTTCCGAATGAAAACCGCAACCTTCCCACTCCCGTTTCAGCTCTTTCCCAATGAAAGAAAATGTAAAACATGCATATTAGACCCGACATTTGTCCTCCTGTCCTCCTGCACGTGTCGAATTTCCGAACCCGACCCGATCGGACCGATCGGGTCGGGTTCCGGATCGAGTGGCACGCATCCGATCCGGAACTCGATCGCCGACCGGGGTTTGCGGGCTCGACCCGCCGGTCGGGTCGGTCCAATCGAGCCGATCCGCATCCCGCGAAGGGCAATCATCTCTTATTCTACATATAAACTCGGGCGTTCGAAACTCGAACAACGAGTCCGAGGAGAGTGGAAGGGGGAGGGGGAGTGTTGGTTAACTCGCTGAAAATTTGCATACAGGCAATTGGGGGTTCTCTGATGACGGGGCGCATCCCCCAATTACTGGGCGTGGCCCCTTCAAATTCGAACGATGTGTCTCTTTAGAATGCTGTGAAACAGAACTTTCTGAAATTTTTTATACAGCTAAATTAGCGGTCTCTGGAGACCGAAAGTATCCCACATTCTCCATCTGATGCATGGGAATTCCAAATACGCTCTGTTTATCTCATTTGAATACTATGGAACGAAACTCCTGAAAATTATGACATGGGGAAATTTTTTCGCGTGGGGGGGGGGGGGGGGGACAGGAAGCACCTAATATTATTTAATAATAATTTATTTATCTAAATTATGGCTGTTCAAACATTCAGCGGTGTGTCTGATTTGAATGTTATGGGACAGAATTCGATTAGCCTTAGTTAGCAAAACGTGAAAGCTTCGCGGGATACAATTATTGGAAGAGGTATTGGAAATGCTTATAAACGGCTACAGGGGAATGAGTGCGAATGTGAATGGTTTCTAGGCAATTTCGTAAGCTGGGCTGACCTTGGAGGAATTCCCACGAAGCAACCGCCTCCCCCTCTCTCATTTTACCCTTTCCGGCTTGACTAGAAATGTGACATATAGCTGGGTGGAGACATTTATATGAAAGCGATGTCACTTGTCGGTTGTCGATTCTATTTTCCAGAACTAGTTAAATATAAAAAAGACTTAGTTCCTTTCCTCCTTAGTTTAAACTACTAGTATAGGGCTTCTTTTCTCGAGTTGGCGCGATGCATCGATTCGTCCTCGTCACCAATAATGGTTTCATCTTGGATCAGTATGAAGGGGACGACTTGAATCAAAATTGGCTGATGGTTGAAGAGAAAATAGTGAGGAGGGGTGGGGGGAGGAGATAAAAGTGAGGGGAAGGGGACAAAATTGCAGGTAATTCATCCTGTTAGAAAAAAAGAAACTACTCTCATAGTTCAATCCAGTTTTCCTTCTGCACATCTAAAGTGTGACATCCATCTGCAGCAGGAATTCCTTGAAACGATGGAGACGGGAAGAGTGGGACACCTCTTTTTCGGTTGAGAGAAAGCCTTGGATGGTGAAGGTCTCCCGGATGCCTCCCGGCGCTTCACACACGAAAAGCAGGAAATCATCAATAGGCGCCGTAGGGCTTATTACCTGCTTTCAACCTCCTCGTATTCCTCTCTGAGAGCATCAACAGGAACGAAATTTGGCTTGCTTTTTCCTCTCTCGACGCAGAATCGCTCCGGCAAATTTGAAGCCCCATTTCCCCGGGTTTGTGGAGAATACTGAATCTCGCTTTTTTAAGATGTGAATTTCATTCCGGTATGTTTTTTTTTCTCCCCTCTCCATCCCTGAGGGTTTTCGGAGGAAAGAGACAAAAGGAAAGATATTGACTTGTAGGTGACGAAAGTGACCTTTATGTTGTTTGCGGTGCACCATTTCGCCATTAAAACATGAAATTAGCTGTCATTCATTCAGGCATAGCGTGAAGGCCCCGGTCGCGTCCCCAAGTGTTGCCGGATATCGTGCCGGAGTTATGTTAAATTCGTGACTACTTCGGCCTTCGTATGGATCTTTTGTTTTTTTTTTAATGAATGAGGCATTTTTGTGCTGAGTTCATGAGATGAGCTGAGATTGAAAAACGTTGGCTAGCAGTGGCCGATCGATGTGGTGGGATATGGATATAGCTTATCTGGACACTCCTGAAGAAACAGGATGGCTCGCGCCATGGATTTCGTGCTTACTGGAGGCATTCAAAACTCAGACCTATTCGAGATGGTTCAAGGAACTCCATATAGGCCTAGCGTTCCACGTCCCACTGAAAGGGTTCACGAAATTCGAAACAGGCGTCTATTCGGTCCAACGTTACTCCTCCTCGACGAGATGTCTCGAAGATCAGGGATTAATCCTTGTAGGCCAAATTGGCCCCGTAAGTCAGGGATTGAATTTATATTGAAGGAAAAGAAACCCTTGTTGGGCTATGGACCTCAATGGACAAATAACCCAGCCAGGATTCATCCGCAATAACTATCCTAGGACGAAAGTCAGCAAGATCTGCGTTAAATCGGTCCAAATTCTGTCGACTCCTCGTGTTCACAACGTCTAACGACGGACAATATTCGGGAGACCTGTCGGGGCAAAAACAATGTCAATGACGTGAATTGCGAAACCGGAGGGTGATTCGAAGGGTTGTCGAAAGATTGGTCGACGGGCATGAAGATGCCCAAGTGCTCCGTGCAGCACTTTATTAAAACTGACAGGACAGTTGACCTCGAGTATCGCTGCATCCCTCTAGGACAACTTGATGAAGCGCTGATCGAACGCGGCATGGGTCACACAGGAGCACATCCGATTCGCAGCACGACTTCCTCTTGCGTTTCACCCTCTTGGAGTATTCTGGTCGCTCCGTCCCTATCTTCCTGCGTTAGCCTTGGCATAACTCTGATGTTTTTTGGAGACGGTAAGACATACACAGTGGAATCAACCCATTTTCTACTAATTGAAATCTGGACTTTACATAGTGAAAACCTAAATAGACACATTCTTGACGTGGCACGTGCAGCGTTCAAAGGTTGGTGAGTCCGCGCTACTAACGTTCAGGCGATGTTGGCTTGTTCAAGAAAGGACAGATATAATGCTATCACAACTCTTACTACGTGAGAGAGACCTACATTAACTTGTAACG